GAGAGAGAGAGAGAGAGAGAGGTAGTGGTGACAGTCTGCGTTGAGTCAAGTGCAGAGTTGAAGAGGGGAAGGAATGGCGTGGAAGAGTGAAAACTGGGATTCGTTATCTGCCTAAGACAACAGCCAGAATCGGCGTCAGGATTTGCTGTTTCCTCTCACTCACCGAACACCCGTGTGCTTCCACTACACGCAGGCCAAAGAGACACCATATCGAGAAAAAGGCTGTTTGCTGTCGGCGCGTAGAAAGAGAGGAGGAGGTGGGGTGGGTACCACGAGGTTGAAGTCGGGGCGTGGACAGATTTCTTTATCAGATATGGCTGTCGGGGAGAGAATCTATCGCTGTCTTCTGTTGGGGATTCGAGTCATTTGACCTTCCTCTCAGCCTTCCTTCCATATTCCTCTCTTTTATGATTGATCTTAAAGTTTCTTCTTTAGGTTTCTGGAGTTCTCTCTCTTGTTGTCTCTTGCTGCAGCCTTTGGGTAAAAACCAGCAGGTAGAAGAGTAACGTCAACAATTTCGACGGTCTACTACTGCATTATATAGCAGAGAAAGAGGATGATTTACTAACCAAGACGAAGAAGACGCAGCAAATGAAGTGATCCATGGAACACGACGGGGACAATGCTGGATCCTTGAGATCTCGGGCTGGTTCCCCTGCCCCATGGTGGCTGTGGACAGCATGGCCCCCTTCTGTCTTCAAACCCTGTCCCTCTCCTTCCTTCCTCCGTCGTGGGTCATGATAATTAAACCTCTAATGGGAGAGAGAGAGAGAGATGGAGAATTAACTGTACTGTAGACTGTCGTTGTACTGTGCTTCATTTCATGATGATGCATTTATTGTGTATTCTGTTCATGTACTGCAGTCTTCAGCAATGTTTCTCTCGAGCAAGCCACTGTCTCCCTCCCGAGTGATGCAACTCATTGAGAGATGTGACTACATCTGAATCCATGACACTGTCATGCCTCTCCTTTTCCGAGAAGTGGAAGAGATATAAAAGCTTAGCTTGCAGATATGAGAGTTCATTTCACTTATTTTGACATTTCAGCAACCACAATCTCTGCAGTTCTACATTTAACATATGGGTTGCTATCAGTTTGGTATTAGCATTCATTTGGCAATTGCCTTCTCAAGGAATGAGACTTCATGCCTCTCCTGAGAAGGTAGATCATTTGGTGGAGAACTGGGAATGGATGTCATGTCTCAAAAGTCATGTAAGCTTTGGTTGGAAAAGAAAGAGTAGTCTGCAACGAGGAAAGGCATACAGTGGTCAAAGATTTGCTGGAGTGTATGCTTCAGAAATCTTCATTCTGTATATGGCTGTGCCAAAGATTTCCTCATCATTTGCTGGCCCAGAGATGTCACACATATTTCTGTTCTTTCTAGTGATGATGACATACACAACATCTACCTTGGAAATAGATTGTGTGCCATGTCATGGTAACCGAGTTGTAGGTAAAACTCATATTTTAGATTTTGTTAGTTGAATTCAAGAGACTATTGCCTCAATCAATTAAATAAAAATATTAATAGAAACTAAAATCATTTTTTTCTTCTTTATTTAAATGTGATTTTACTCATGTAATATCGTTTTATTGTTCCAAACGAGGGCATGTATGTTACACCAGAAAAGCGGGTGGGTCCGTTCACGTTCGCCTCCTCCGACATAAAAGCAAGCAGTTGCCGTCCCTTCGGAATAACGCAGCGGTCACAGTAACCCCATTCGTAGGTCCCACACGGCTAAGCTAAAAGCACAAGTCGTGGCAGCTCGTGATTGGTTAGACGGTGAATGAGCTTCCTTTCGGTGAGTGCGGCGCGAGGTCGCAGGAACTACCGGTGTCATTTTCACACCCCAACAACGCGAGCCCACTAGAACACCCGAAGCCGGTTCTCTTTGGGCCCCACGACGACTTCCAATAGAAGACCCTTCTCTCTCTCTCCCTCTTCCCCGCGTCGTCTCTCGACGGGTTCGACTCGGCTTATCCTGTGCCGCCCGCGACGAGGAAACATTGAGAGCGATCGATCGATCGATCGATGGGGACGCCAACGAGATGAGTTCTTTTTACCCTTAACCTTCCCTCCTTCCTCCACGCGCTTCCAATTCTTCGGCCATTGATTCGTCCGTTGCGAGGGCTGGGCTTCGGACAACCCTAGATTCGCTGCATAGGGAGGGGCCGGTGGTCGAAGCGAGACAGGACCAGGAGGAGGCTTTTGGATCGTTCTCCAGGTAAGCTTCTCGACGTTCGATCTCAACCTGCCTCTCGCGATGGATGCTTTTTGTGGGGTATCGGTGGAACTGTTTTTATCCTTTTTCCGGATTTCGACTGATGTAGGGATGAAAGTTTTGGCGCCGAGGTCGAATTGTGGATTCTGATTCATTCTCTGTGCTTTTTGCTTGTATTCGTGCTTCTGGCCGGGAAATCATTAGCAAGACTGCATCTTTTTCGTGATTTAGGGAACTTTCCGTAGGATTCAGGGATTGAGTTATAGGTTTGGTCGATGATGATTCCAATGAGTTGGTGTTTCTACGTTTGGTGGTTTCGTTGTTTCCTCTTGTCATTTTGTTCGGATTCTTGGTCTATTCCTTCGGCTTTTCATTTGATCATTGGCTGGCAGGTAATTCGAAATTGGTGATTGAGAAAAGAGAGATGAAGCCGAGGAACAGGCCAGATGAAGAGGAGGCTGAATACTCCACTTGGACCCCAAGAAACAGCTGGTCCATCGGGTTGATAAAGTTTGTCTCGTTTCTTGTCATTTTCATGGCGGGAATTATCATAGGCTTGTCATTAAGCGCACATTTCACGAGGTCCTTCAATTCACAGACCGATATCTTCTTTCCGAAGACAATGTACACCACCAACTGCGACAAGGCAAGCTTGAGCTTCAAGGGTTTCTTGAGTCCGGCACATTTGATGCATAGCATGTCAGACAAAGAGCTCTTCTGGAGGGTGTCCATGGCACCTAAGATGAAAGAGTATCCATTTGAGAGGGTGCCGAAGGTGGCTTTTATGTTCATGACCAGGGGGCCCTTGCCATTAGCAAGGCTGTGGGACAGGTTCTTCAAAGGCCATGAGGGGCTGTATTCAGTTTACGTGCACACAATCCCAGATTACAAACTCAACGCACCAGAAAGCTCAGCTTTCTATGGCCGGCAGATCCCCAGCGAGGTTACACATAATTCTATGTTCTTGTCTATACTTCTTGTACATTGTTGTTTTGTGTGAATGATTTAGATAGCAGATGTGATGCATCCCACTGTTAGTGCATACTTGGGAGATGATAGCTTCATATTCTTAATAGAACTTGCTGGTTGCTGGTCAATTTTAAGGCATTAATATTCTCGGAGTTCCTTGTCATGCTTTATTTCTGACATTACGGTTGACCCACTGATTAGATAGGGGATGACTGTGCCATGCTAGGTTCTTGCACATGTATTCTTGAAATGTTTACATATAGACTCTCAAGGGTTTTGTGTGAGATCCTCATTCTTTCATTTGTGGATATCCATAATGCTGATACAAAGTTCTCCGACATAGTATGATGAACTTATTCAAGTTTTACTTGCAAAAACTTAATCTGCTTGTACTCAACTGAGAATCTTTACTTTATCAGTTTATGAATTGATGGAATTCCTATATTTAATTATTTAAATAATAATTTTAAAATTAAAAATATTAAAAGGAATGAAATCGGAAGAGATCCTCAACAACAGTACAACTTGATGTCAATATTTTTTGCGTAGTCAACAGAAGCATTTTTCAAATTGATGTGTTGTTTTCCTTGCTTCATATGTTGATAGCATGCTTATATATTTCTCTATGGTCTTCCTACAGGAGGTTTCATGGGGATCAGTGACGCTAGTGGATGCAGAGAAGCGTCTCTTGGCTAATGCTTTGCTGGATTTCTCCAATGAACGCTTTATTCTTCTCTCCGAGAGCTGCATTCCTGTGTACAATTTCCCTACTGTCTATGAGTACCTCATAAACTCTGCTCACAGCTTCGTCGAATCATATGATGAGAATTCACAACAAGGTCGTGGGCGTTATAGCCGTCACATGTTTCCCACAATCAAGCTCCACCAGTGGAGAAAAGGATCTGAGTGGTTTGAACTCAACCGCGAATTGGCTGTAAATGTAGTAGCAGACTACAAGTACTACTCCATTTTTAGTAAATACTGCAAGCCTTCATGCTATCCTGATGAGCACTATATACCGACTTTCTTAAACATGTTCCATGGGTCCCTAAATGCAAATCGAACCATCACCTGGGTTGATTGGTCAAGGGGAGGGCCCCATCCAGCAACATATGGTGCTCCAAATATTACACCTGATTTTATACAGTCCATTAGAAACAATGGAACATCATGTATGTATAACTCGAGGCCGACGTCTGTATGTTTCCTCTTTGCCAGGAAGTTTGCTCCTAGTTCCTTGGATCCTCTACTCAACCTCACTTCAACAGTAATGGGATTCTGAAGTCTTTCTTCTACCTGTCTTTCTTCATACAGAATAGCTCAGAGAGGTGATTATTTTTTAGTTACTTCGTGACGTTTTGCTCCTTCTATGTATGGATTAGATATGGCAGCTATACTGGAAATATCGTTGAAGTTGAAATCTTGTCCCAGCTGTCCAAGTTGGACACTAACAATGAAAAAGGTGCCACATATGCATCTTAAGTTTCTTTTTCAACATCCTCCTTCAGAGGGTGTCTACAATAGGTTAATGGGAGTGCATTTTAACTATTAAATCTTGTTAATGGTTTAAACAATAATGGTTTAAATCTTGCTACCTTGTACATTCAAAAGTTTATTTCGAAGCTGAGGTTTGAAAGGAATTTGCTTCAGTTGACCTCTCTAGCTTTTGGAAAAAAAATTTCTTTCATACATTGAAACATGTAATGTGATTAGCTAGAAGGTGATATGTTCTTTATGTTGACAGGCCTTCTTGAAATGGATTGGATGATAGTCTCTATGCTAAGGTATCTATTGAAGATGCTGAAAGCATATGTTCATATGCCTACTGAAACAGTTGCAACACTCTTCAAGTTGATCAGGGGCAGTTTGACTTCATCGATAGGCGATAATTGTGTATACAAATCTGCTTATGGAATTTTTTTGTATATAGCCCTTTGTTGTTCTTTATCTTTATCTCTAATCAGTCAACCCTTTTATCATTCCTTGTTCTTTTATTCCTTATTGGCTTGTAAGCTTACTCTGTCAACAAGATTTCTTGATGGAACATGAAGAAAGAGGTCTGCCTTTGCCAACGACTTCAAGGAAATCCACATGGACCAGCTCAGTTGCTGTCCTTAATTATATGGGGAGAAGGCCTACTACTGTTGCCAGAAGTCATGATGAGGTTGACTAAAGATGGCCTTGCTTAAAGATGAACCGGAAAACAGAGTGTAGGGTAATATTAACCTGGAAAAGTCAACGTTGTGATTTTTCATTACAATTTTGTACAGGTGAATAAAGCAGAAGTGTGAATGTAGTGTTGCAGGGTCAAGCAATGGACCGAGAAAAAGCAAGACAACATTTTTGTAGTATAAACTTTGGATTGAGGTGTCTTTTGGAATCATCACTAGAATGGAAGTATACATCTTACTTTCATGTCATAAATGTGAAAAAAGATCAATATACAGTCTTATATATTATACGAAGATGGAAACATTTTATGAAAGGAATTTAGAAAAAAAAGAAGAAAAAAGGTTTAGTACGACGAAGCAAAGGAGAAAGAAAAGGAAATTAGAAAAAAGGTTTAGTACGACGAAACAAAGGAGAAAAAGAAGTGGAGTAATACAGATATTTAGAATATTTTTATGATTTTAAACTCAAATTGGCTACTGAGGATCATATTTAGTAATAATTAATAAAATTATATTGAACGATGAAAGTGAGATGTGGAGGATCTAAGGATCAGAAGGAATCCTGCCAAAGAAGG